TGATTGGTTCTCCTTCCGCCTCCAACCTCCACCAACCTCGGAACCTAGTCACTTGGCCTGACGAAGCTTTTGTGTCAGAAGCGAAACGTCGTCCAGCAATAAATCTACCGACTGTCACCAAGCTTTTCCGAAAACGAAGCCCTCATTTAGTTGACCACTCATGCATAATGTTAAAACTGTAATATACCTACGCAAGGGCCCAGCTTCTCAAAGGTCGGGCTGAACATTTCCAACAGTAGTTTAGCCGGCTACCTGCCACTGTACCCACGTTTTTACTAGACGTGCTCAACTCCAACCTGGCCCTGTTAGTCTGGATATCCCCTCAATTTCTGCATGCTTGGGTTTTTCTGCCCTGAAACTCTGGTGTGCCAAAAACGCGGATGAGTGCCCATCAGAGCTATTCAGAGACGGCGTTATGCTATAGTAATTTCCCATAACCAGGATGTTTAACATAGTCTGAGAGCAAGAATCCACCCCAAAAATCGACAACCATTACCACTTGTGCTTTTATACTGAAAGGCGTCAGGCGTTCAGCCATGGCTCTCACTGGTCAATCGAGTTCTCGGACAGCAGCTGTCTTCTATCTTCCTGTGTCTTTCCAGTTTTTTGGTACTTCTCATGGTGAATATACAGCTTTTTTCTATATAGGCTTTATCCTGCGGGGGGCTCCGCTCTCTCAGTTGACAGGCTTCTGGAGTAGTATGGAGGTTGCTCGGCACTGTTGTTTGCATCTTCTCAAGATGACCTTGGGGTGTGGTTTTGTTAATGTTTCTTCTCATACATGATACTACTGGTCGTTGGGCCAGTTTTTAGTGTTTGTGTTGCGCTATTGCCATCGAAATCCATTCAAATCCTTTTCTGTCTGACCCTTTCCTATATTCGGAAGTAAATCCGCGTCTTCACCTCTCTAACAATGTCAAGATGACATTTTCATGCCTGTTTGTAGTTAATCATTTGAAAATGGAAGTACTGTGCATCTTCCAATTGTATTGAATCTAAACGCTTCGAATGCGCGTATAAGGGGGATCATTTCTAATCACAACAGGATATTGAAAGGAATGATCTCTTGGAAGCTGAAGACGCGCTCCATTTTTATGGGGAACAGCATACTTTGAAATTTTGTAGGTTAACGTTTGTACCCTTTTGTGTTTTTATTGCACCAGATTTACTGAACTGTTTAAGGAATCGGTTCCTCAAAAAGGGTCGGAAACCCATCGCTGGGATAGGTATTATCTCAATCAGAACCCCACAAGGTTCCGTCTAAATGGTTTCCACTATTTATGCACAATATTATTCACGTGCCCGAAACCTATTTTATTTCTTAGGAACAAGATGCTACATTCAAACTAGGAATTTCTTCAAACATACTTGTCCGCCATTCCTTGAAAAAACCTATCGTTCGTTTTTGGGCTCGTGACCTCTCTAAGTTCGAAACTATGCTCAAGGTTAGCTAGGATTTTCCATAGAGCTCATCGTTGCCATTTGTCGTTCAACTTATTCAATGAGAATAAATGGAGTTCTTGTGACTTGGGGACGAAGAACGCTATCTGTCAACAACAACTTTGCCAAGATGACCGTTTGTGTGTATGGTGCATCGCGGTTAAAGTGGATCAGCCAGCGGTATCATCACATGATAACGCTACGGAACTAGCCAAAAGCGTTGAGGATCGAAGGGCGCAGGCACTTGCCAAATCCTAGAAGCAGAGTCTAACTATACTGACAATTTTTGCACCAGTGATGGGAAATTGATAATGTTGAAGTTTTGTGCACTTTTAGGTGCGTAACAATGAAGGCTTATATAAGATTCATACTTTGGTTTCCAATTTTGGAAAAAGGCGTGTGGTTTGAGTCTTTGGTAAAAAAAATTAGGTACACAGTGGTCTTGCTGGTAAAATCCACCTTATAATTACCTATCCACAAACAAACGTTTGGTTAGGGTTTTTAAGGTCAGCTAGAACGAAGTTAAGTCAAGAGATCCAGTATCAGACAACTGTGCATATCCATGATAACAGTTTCATTCCGGTATAGACGTATTCCCTCTCATGCTGAATATCACAGCTTTTTTGGGTAAGAACTTTCACAATGCTTTTTTGTAGGGAGTCACATTTCGTCTTTCTTTCTCCTTCATCTCAAACGAGGGTTTGGAATATTTTATCTATGGGGTCAGCCAGCTAAACTCATGTGCGAACGACTCATTGATGGCATTAGTCAGGTGCAAAATATTATTTAGAGAATGATACAATCTACTGCGAATACTATCCCCCTACAAGGATCATACTGTTTACTGTAATGTTACTGTTTTTTTCTTAAGGAAAACGCGGATAAAGGAAACAAAAGGAAGACATGAGTGTGTCTGGCTCAAGTGCAGTCGCACCTTGCAACTATTAAGATGGCTTGATGTTCGGTCAGTGTAGAATTTTTGAGGCAGTCCTGGCTCAAAAAGCAGATATATACATATATATGTATATATATATGACTGGACTGGAAGACATGTCTAAGCAGAAATGGACTGGAGCTAACACGGGGCAAAATTTCATTCCTTAGATGATTTCTCAAAGCATCATCCACGGGTAGCGAAAATCTTTTATCCTATTTAATGGCTAGATTTGTATTTAACAACAGTTGCGTTTCCCGGTCACAATGAAAACCAAGCTAACTCTGTCAACAGACATTTATTGCCAACGTAGGCACCTACATTACCAATGTCCGTGCTTCTCAGCAAGTTATTCTTTCAAGATTTTCCAGGTTGTGGCCACCAATTTCACTACTCACGTGAACTTTTTTCCATTCCCTTGGTTTGAGAAGCAGGATCATGGATGGCCGTTGAGATTTCTGACGTGTTTCACGTTACACTATTTAGTTCGAAATGTAATAATAAGCGCAAATCTTTGATACTACCTTCTCAACATCACTGTATTGGTGAGTTAATCTGAAGCCTCATGCTTACTCGCTTGTTTCTGCCGACATCTGTAGTGTGATACGCTGGTGTTAATTAATTACTATTCATCTATCGGTCATGGGATGATTTTTACCTAGTCGGGAAGGACCAGGAGATCCACGTGCATTTGTGCTTTTGATAAATTCGGATAAAGCGACCTCCACTATCCTGAGCTGTTCCCATGGTCATCGCCACAAAATGTAGAAAACGTTCATCTGATTACCAAAGCAAAGGAAAGACCAGCAATGAGGGTAGTAAATTGATTTACATATTTGCATAAGACATATAAATGTGCTCGCGTTGACCACCTTCAACCACACACCCTTGCCCAATCAAGACATTCAAATATATGGCCTATCGATTTTGTTCGGTCTCGTGACGCACTGTTCAAGACTTTTGGTCGAGCAAATAAAGCATCGTTCTGCCGGAGACGATCAAGAATTAGAATGGGAAACTCTTCAGGTACCTTGTGTGCGCACGTGGAAACAAAGGACCAAGGAGCTGTGAATAAGGCAGAAGCTGCATGTAAAGCGGAACAGGAGGAACCCACGCCACAAACAGGTGATTTGGGAAACCAAGCACAACCAGAAACTGAGACAATCGGTGAACGACCCATACAGGAGGTAGGGACAAATGAAGGAAGTAAGTTACATAGAAGCTGATTTTTCGTCGTCGATAGTCAAGACGTAAGACTACGTATTAGTTGGTGCGAGTTGCTCAGTATTTTTGCCAGCGTGTTCCATGCTCAAAAAGCTCTCCAAGTTGAAGGAACGGTTCTCAAAACATTTTCTGAGGGTGGGCTAAATTGTGTAGAATAGCTGTTTTTAAAATAGTCCACTGAAGATTTTTACGCCATAAAAACCAAATGGTTGTCTAGGGGTAAACCATGTCTCAGATTGCTGTCAAGGTTGCGATTATTGTTTGTACTACTATGGAAATATTGATTAGAGTCCTGGCATGAATTGTTCGACTAGACTGGAATCTGATAGAATTTGGCTTGCTGAAGACTTCTTGCAAAGCATGATTGTTGCATATCCTGGCAAGCACTTTTTGAAACCAGCAAATCAGATGTGTGTGACGTTGGCTAACCCTTTTTCAGGGGCTTAAAGTGGTTTTCACGATTACCCCTGGCCTTACCTTTTAGTCATGCTTAGCTATTGCTTGAGATTCCACTGTCCATGCCCTTTGAGATGCTTCCTGTCAGTAGGACAGTATGTGTTATAAGGGACTGTAGTTGAGAGAATAGAGAAGCACTAAATTTCTTGGCCGCGATACACACAAGCTGGAGGGGACAGAATGGCATCTGTTCTGGAAGTGCAAACGCAAGGTACCAAAGATACTGATTTCCAGTGGGTTATTTGGTTATTACCAAATAGTATTTGAAAAGGGCAAGCTAAGATTACTACATGCGGATCCTTATGGATGGGGCTTTTACAAATGGAAGAGTGCAAATTTACTGAATGATCTCTTCTGAAGAAGTTCCAACAGGAAACCAGTTACCGAAATTTCGGGTTTGTAAACTATACTTTACCTGCTGACCAGTTGTAAAAGATTTTCGGGTACGGCTTTTACCGGCTGTGCGCTTCAGATTAGGGTTGATTACACCCGCTGAACATGCTATTGTACTTCTATCATGTTGGTGAACCAGTTTAGAGTGAAGTTTCAATAAACTAGTAGAAAGAAAAAGGAGGATATATCAACCTAATGAAGCAGGTAGTAGTAGTACAGAATTCCACTAGTCATTCACATACAAAATGTACTAAGTGTCACAACCAACAGTGAACCCTATCAGTTACTGCATTAGTACACATTTGGCGTTTCATTCTTTAGTCAGCACTAGTGAAAGAATCCGCACAGTTGATACATACCTCAGCCTAGATTCATATACATAGCTGAAACTGTAGCGAACATGGCATGCAAGACGGTGTTAGGCTTGTTCAACCAAAAGATGTGTTAATGGATCTAGCGGGAAGCGACTGGACGAGCATTTTCTGTCCAGTTACTGGGACCAGGTGTACCACTGACAACGAAGCAGCAAGGGGGGTATTTTTAAAAAAAAGGAATTACACCAACCCAAAATAACGACGATAGTTCTCTGGGGCAATTAACACAACATAAACATATCAAAGTACCACAAATCTGTGCCTCACTCGCCTCTAGTGGCATCACGTCGACTTCTTTTGGTATTCATTGATCTATAAAGTAAAACCTACCAGTGACGAGCGAATGCAAATCAAAGGGTGTGAGGCTAAACACATCCAGGATCAAGCTAGGATGTCTTCAGCTTCATTTAGCGCCACGCAGAAATTCTGACACCACTTTCTAAAATAGCCGCCTTGTAATGTTAGATCTTCAGCAACCTAATTGCTACCTTTAATTTGTCTTCCACACTTAGGTGCACAGGCACCACGTTCTGTCGGAGTCGACGGTAAGATAGAGTTTTAAGAGTGGATTAGGATTTACTGAGAATAAATCTGGAATCTGACATTTTAAATGAGTTGGCTGAAGCGAGAAAGGAGGCAAAATGTATCCATAGCTACCAAGAGAATTTTAGGAATGTAAACACATCAATATGTCCGGGATGCACTAGCATTAGCCCCCTTATTTTTCCCGTACTGCTCGTCTACAAAGTGTAGGTTTCTGTAAATGCACCTTTACAAAACACTAGCATTCCACAATGGAGTTGGTATTGGTGAAGTTTTACTAACGAAGTGATAATCTGTCGTGGTGGGGTACAATATAGCTCTCTATCGTACCGGCAACAGAAAGACTCAAGGGATTACCCCACCATTTCCACCCAAGGAAAAAAACTGCATGGATTCGTTTGGGTGGTTGTGCATTTGCCTACCATAAATTTGTGAACGGCTAGATTTATTTCGACAGTGAGGGGGAAGTATTGGTGACAGCTTCTAAGACAGCTTTGAGACCAGTATATCGAAACAAATTTTCGAGAAGCATTAAGTTGTTCCAGCCCTTGTGCCATCATGTATGTAAATTTTGTAATAACGAGGGTCCCTCTAGCGCCATACTACTTCTCCAGGTAGCACGCACACTGCCCCAATTGGAAGTGCCAGAAGAGTTGAATAATTACGAAATAATCTATAAAAAATGCTCAACGGTTATTGGTCATCGATGAGGAACCCCTTGGTTCCATTATGAAACAGATGCCTCGCGGGGAAAATGATATAACATACCATATTTTACGGACACAAGGTAGATCATCATTGACAGCCCAATCACAAAGGGTAGCTGTTTGTTTTATGTGAGCCCCAAGCCGCCATATGTCGTAGACGTGCTTCACATTGTCAAGCACACGTCCAGGTAAGAATAACATAAAAAAACAAACTAATCGACCGAGGGCGGATAGTGAACCCACTGTGGACCTTCAGGTTCAAAATTCAAATTCCTTAAAATTTTGTTCCCTTAACTGTGCCAGATTTAAACTATAATAACACGCGAAGACTGGTGAAATTCCCATAGTGTCATTTGAGTGGTTTTGTCCTATTGAACAAGCGTTGTTTTTGTACTTTCACGATTATTCATTCTTCACTCTTATTCATCCTGTTAGTTTTGTCTGACTCTTCAATAGTGGCTGTTCGGAAATGCGCAACTTCATCGCAGTCTATTCGAAGTTTTCCACAAACCGCTGATCTAAACGCATTTTCGGAGCTGTGGGATGGCAGTTGAACTGATTAAATTTTCTCTCAAATTATTAGCTCACACAACAGAATGCCTCTGATAACCACTGGCAAGAAGGTCCGAACTGACATTCGTGATCTCGCCGTGCACCGTACACCTATTTTCGCCACAGACTATGCGCAAGACACTCATCCACACAGCCGGGTTGTATTCGGTAGAGAATCTAGGATCACGAGACACCAGCACAAACGTTATTTAGGTAGATATGTATGTCTGGTGGATACGTACCAAAATTTCATGCAAATGCATAAACTCACGTGTAATTATAACCCTAAATCTATCAATAGGCTAGTCAAAAGTGAGAGCATTTCGACGACTTGTCTGTTTAGAGAAACGTAGACATAATGGTATGTGTAAAGTCCAATTCTATCAAAGTCCCAAGAGCTTACTGAATCCAGATTTCTTGCCCTACATTTAACACAGAACTATACAAATGAAAGGTCCGGTTATTTATTACTCAATCTTGGAGTATTCAATGTGGACACGGATACCAAGCACACGAGACGGCGGTAAATTCTTTTGGTGACGCACGGTTCTTAACTTCGTTGCATGCAACCTAAGAATTCAGGATAATAAATTCTCCCAAACTACATAGGGGCCAAAAAGCAAATTGAAGTAATCCGCCAGAGGAGCTGTCGAACAATGACTCAGCGGGAAATTGCCACCCGCAGCCACAGTTAGCGTTGTCCTACGTAGCGTCATGGCGGACCGATTTTATAGACATTTGTTCAACCGTCTTTTGAACTAATGAAAAAAAACTTGCGCTGGTTTGTTATCCAATTTATACTGATTTTCACTGGTTGAAAATCGTTTGGGGAGAGTGTCCTCTTAGAACAGATGAAGTTCATTTACGTTCCAAGCATTCATTCATAAAAGGCTTGTAAGTCTCAAAATTTTTGTCATTATTTAACTAATTCTTTCTAAACGTTTTGAATATCTAACCTCCCAAGTTTATCTTCTTGGTGTGTACCGGTCAACGTATTTGGTGCGTTTGTCGAAACAAAATAGGTTCAATGAATACACAGTGACAATGGCTGTGTAAGTATCACAATCCATCTCTTGATTGGATTTTCAAAGTACTGGTCCACATGTCTGTGAGGTGTTTTCTCTGCGTCGAGGGAAAGCATCAGGAAATGCACTTAAGTTTTCAGCTGCGTTTAATTACGAAACCTTCCAGACTATCGAAGCTGGGTAAATAAAACACACTTCCTGACACAAGGCTATCACTGTGATTCCAATGGTTTTCAAGCTGGACAAATCATCAGAATGATGTTTTTCATTCCCTGAAATTTCTCTTATTAAGAATTTATTAATAAAGCTTTCTTCGATGGTTTCGAGCGACAATATTAGTTTCTGCTATATCACCATTTGTGCTAATAGCTGCAAACTCTCACTGCTATATCACCATTTGTGCTAATAGCTGCAAACTCTCACTAAGGTAATCACTTTTAGTCGTGTAGCGTGTGGTAAGGCTAGTAAATTCCAAAGGGAAAGCATCCACAAAATCATTTTAGGTAAATAGCTACCATCTGTGGTTGGCTGAAAGAGTCGATTATAGTGGCTTTGTGAATGATACAATACAATAGTCCTAGTTTATTTAAATGACTGCGTAGCAGTCCATATTGTTCACAAACAGTGACGAATAGCTCGGTTCATAGGGGATCAGAAATGGAACTAAAAGAAAAATATGTTCAAATGAGCAATCAAAACAAGGCTTGTAGTTACTCCTTCAGACCTACACGAGTAGTTGCCTGCGTCAAAAATATGAAGGATGAACCCTTTTACAGTGTTAGATAAACGTTATGATTTGAATGTAAGCACTTCTTTAGTTTCTTTTCCTGGGTCGCCCTAGATTCTGCCACTCATCGGTTTGTTCGCGTCCTACAACGACAGTATAATGGAATGACCACCATCATACCTTGAATAGTACTGTAGCCTGTGAG